GATTACATGAAAAAGAAAGAAATTTCAAACGATCAGTAAAGTACTTTTGAGAAGTTCTAGACACATTTTCATAATTTAGTTTTGAACGTTGATTCAGAAAAAAGAACTTTCAGAACTTCATTGTGCAATTCATATATATATTATTCATTCTTTTGTATATTGATTGTACACTTCTTCATCAGTATAGATTTCATCGTCTTTTTCATAGCTATATAAATGAGTGTTTTTCACAAACAGAATCAGTCAGATGGCCTTGTATCATTCATATCGTTGTCGTTGTTTTCCTAAAAAAACAACCGGAGTTAAAACGGAGTTAGATTTGGATCGGAATACCTGACAAAAATTGGCAACTTTGTTCGGTTTTGCAAGCTCCTTCCCTTTGCTACATTCCTTTTATCTCCATGAGCAATGTTGTTAGCTTTAGAATAAGATTTTTAAACCGCTTTACTTTTAAAAAATAATAGCAAAACACCGCCAATCTGCTTACTAGCAGTCGTTTCCTTAACGTATGTCCCTCCATCGCACTCAGTAGGCACTATATGTATGTACGTCCGTCACACTCACTAGGCACTATATGTATGTACCGAAACTAGTTCCACACTATTCCCTAACTTGCAACAATTTTGAAAATTTCTTTGTTTTTGGAAATATACTTTAAATGAAACCGGATCCATTTTAGTTGCTTTTTTTCCTATTACGTTTGCTGATTTCGTTTTTAATATTTTATGAATATATGAGTAAGAAAAAATTCCATTAGCTGTTCTCTCATGTAGCAAAGATTCTTTCTCAAACACGCAGTACAATAAGTGCTCAAATAATCGAAGTATTTCGTCTATGTCGATAAAATTTATACTTGTCACAAAGCTAAAAATATAGTTTCAACTAAGTTAATAGTTAAAAATATGCTTTCATTCATCTTCGATCGATATTTCAAAACGTAAATTCCGTCACTTAACAATGTGTCTTATTTTATTACTTCAAATTATCATGCCCGTTGTATCCATACAAATATGAAAGCCAAATTATACTGTAGCAATTCTAATGTTGAATCAACATTAGGTTGATCCGAATTCAGAAATTTTAAAACGTTTTAAAATTGATTCATTCAAAAATTCTTTGACTGCTTCAACGCATAAATAAACTAACATTTATTGTTAAGAGGTTGTTTTCCATGAAACAGATTCATCAACTGTACGGGAACTTTTCTATCACTTAGTTGAATTACGAATATTGTGCATTTTTGTTCCATGCGTCGTGCCACGCATTCCCACACGTTGCACTATTATGTAGCCTTTTAGGCATATCAAAAGAAAATGCAGTATCCTAAACAATATTCCTCGTCACAAATTTTCACCAATTGACAGGACTTCGCCGGAATTAGGCAAACCTCAATCGAAAACTAACCACTTAGAGAACATGCGACACGTTTTCTATAAAATTTTTATTTTTCGTATTTGTCGGCTAAATTTCCGTCGCTCTCAATGTACTTCAAATATTCTTCTACCAGTGAGTTATTAGAGAGAGAAATTTTCTCCGATATGGGATATAACGGGTGCTTGCTGATTATACTGTAGAATTGCTGTAAGATTATTCTGTAGAAGAAACCCCAACTATTTAGCTATTTTTCCAGATGATTCGAGTGTTTCGTTCAATGATCTTAAATCCAGAAAGTGTGTGTCGGACAATGGACATATTATTTATGCTGGTCCATCAAAGGTTTTTCGAATGATCGTGAACGATTGATTAAGAGCAATTTTATTTTGTCGCAATATCGATAATAGTTGTCGTAAAAGAAAAACATTTCAACGTTCAGCAGAAACTGTCAAAATCAATGAACATGTTTGAGCAGTTTCAACGTTTGATCATATAAAATGTTTTCTAGATGTCGAAAAGAGTAAACCTGTTTTCTTCACAATCAAGCGCATTGGTATCGCACAATCGGTTGTCATCAACTCATTATTTGCGACAATCAAGAGAGATTTGAAGGTAGTAATGTGTGTGAAGATATTCCCACATTTGTGTTGGAATCGAATTATCAAAATCCGTTTCGAATGATAAATACTCTCAATGATACTACTTTGACCCAACGTTTCCTTGGACAGCTAAAATTCATCAAGCCTGGACGTTCTAAATTCATCATTTATTTCTCGCCTTGCTTACACCACTTCCATCCGAGAAGAAGCAGCTCACTTATTATTAAAATTAAAACAAAATATCGATTCATTTCGGACAAAAAGTTATTCGAAACCATTTGTCATCATCGATTCCATCATTCTGTTGTTCTTGGTAACCTTGATGCTACAATTAAAGTTCAGAATCTGCTGCAACATGTTACTTCTGAAAGGTTTGTTGAAAGCGTCACATCATCAAGTGCATTGGGGAAAATGGACATGATTAATCCAAGTGGAAGAGAGTGCCATCAGTGGCAGTAGAGATTGTCTTGGTAGCGGACATAGTATTCTCACATATTCTGCTCCAAACTGCATGAGAGAAAAACTAAATCGAAAACTTTTGTCTCGTGGTGCACCTAGACGTGTGCGCCGGTCGGAAAATCGGCGGCGGCGTGTAACAGAAGTCTTTCGATCAGCGGCGGCGGCAGAACCTTATTAAAAGATTTTTCACCGTCGGCGGCGGCGACGCCAAAAACCTAAGTTTTCCATCTGCGGCGGCGGCGCACAGGTCTAGGTACACCAGTAGCGTTCACGATCAACTAACAGTGTCTCTCACACCTGCTAACTCATTGAAAAGAAGTATGAAACATGGCGACAGTGACGAAAAAAGTCTTAACAAAACTAATTCAACGTCGTTGAAAGCGGCTATTATGCAGTTGCGGTAGCTAAAGGGAAATCTCTCGTTTGTCAATTAAATCCACAAAAGATGTTAGATAATGGTGAACGGTCTTTCATCACTCTCACTAATCTCAGCAGGACATATGATGAACTAACTAACACAATACACTCACCATCAATATTTATACTATCAGATCAGAGTGATAAAATGGGTACCGATACTGGACATTCCACGTAGTTCCATGCTCCTCTCTCTTTTCTGCTATTCTTACATATATATATACACAGCGAGAAAGGATAATTAATGATTATATTTGTATTATTACTTTTTGTAATAAACGGAGAACGTCGAAGAGTCAAGTTAGAGCCTCATAATCGGAGACTTCTAATATTTGGTGTCGCGACCGAGTCTTCTTCACGTTTAACATCGAAGAAGGAGAACGAGTATCGACAAACAACATCCGTTATCGTATTTATCTACAGATAAGCGCAATTCGTGTTGATTCGCCACACCATCGACAATGGGTTCATCACAATTAGGTGATCGTCAGCAAGGCTTCGCGGAAGACCATTTCGACTCTTTTATCGGTCAACTACATCAATGTCTTCGTATATGGTTTCATGATATTGAAATGGTTGCTGAAATGACACATCAAACGGAGCATTCCATGTTACTGGAACACGCCGTTTAGCATTTGAGTGATGCGTCGAAGAGATTGTATAAGAAAAGCAAGTAAACTTTGACAAGATGGTCGCCTTTCAAACAAGGAATGATAGCGCATTTTGATACTCACACACCACAAATTGTTACGAACGAACGAATGTTATCGAAGCGCTGATGACACAACGTCGTTGCACAATCGCATTTCATCCATAACATTCAGCTCATTATCGATCGTATTACTCAAACAAATTGTCCACCGTCGACTGTCCGCCCACGTTATCATCGACTCCCTCTTCTTTATTCACATTTGAACCGTACGAAGAAAGTTGGCCGGTTGGACCGTCCGATGGAAATCAATCGTGGCTAGGCACTGAACCGCTACAGCAACGTTCCGCATTCGCATGTTATCATACTTTACCCAATGTTACGTGCAAAACACCCGATTATTTTTCTTTGAGACTTCTTTCGCTATTTACTTTTATTGTTTGTTACAGAAAATAATGGGAGTAGAAATAAAAATAGAGTTTACGTTTTGTCGATTTTATCAATTAAAAGGTTATCCGACAATATCATCGCATTTTGTCTAAATTATAAATGTCACGTTCTAGCAAGAGTTCTTTCATCCTATATGAACACTACTTTAACGCTCTCTTCGTTTTGTCAGAGAAGCTAGGGACATTTTTTATCTAGGATGAAAACAAAACATGAAAGCAAGTTTTAAAACGACAAACATCAGCTCTAGAATGAAAAATAGAAATCGTTTATTAATTTTATCTTTTTATATACAAATAAAAAACAAACAAACTAAAGCATTTTTTGATTTGCATCAACAATCTGAATTATTTACACTGTGAATGCTACAAATTGCTTTAGCTCTATACAATCGTCATTAGGATTGCTGAATGATCTATCTCTTGTCTTACTACGGAAGTGTACGCTTAATATTTGCTCAATAATATAAGGATAATGAATGTATCCGTCAAGTGGAATTGCCAGTTTTAATTTCTTTTTCTTCGCTTTTTCTCTAATCATTTTTGACAATTCAATAAATATAGTATCTTTCTTAAAGATTAGTATAGTTTCATGATCATTACTTGCATTAACTTTGATCGGAACATTTGGATCAGTTGTAAATAATAGGTTATAAATACTATCGGGCATATCGCACTTCTTGTACTTCTGATACTCATATTAAGAATTTTCTTTAATATAATCAACTGTTGAGCGGTAACTTCATCGTTTGTGGGAAAAACTCTAAAAAGTAATATTTTTCTCTTTTCTACATACATTATTCACTTACGATCGAAAGTAACATCTCTAGGAAATATTTAAAAATGTTCTATGGCAGCAGTGGTTAGGTTTTGGCTGTTATATTTACATCTGAGATAAAAGAGAGAAACATCGCAAAAAGCCATTTCATTTTAACTATGTAATCTAATTCAAATGAAATATCTGAGGCTTTCTAAAGCATGAGACATGTAGATAATGTTTTGAAATAAAACTGCTCCACTTACTCGTGATCAGGATTAATATGGATAATATTAGAAAGATCTTGCATGGTAGTTTGAGTTGGCATTAGACTGGCCTTTTCAAGTGCATCTTCACCAAAATCCGCTGCAAGTTCAGGATGATTTATTTTAATGTAATACATCATTTCAAAATTTGTCATAATTAATAATCTTTTCGCTGTTGAAACACTTTCACGATAAAGTTTGATTCTTGGATGATCAGAATTTAATGATTTTAATCCATAGTCTAATGCTTTTGCAAAATAATCATAGGCTAAATTGATATTATATAAAAGACCATAAATAAAACCAAGATTATAATACGTTAATGCAAGTTGAGGATGTGTAATAGGATAGTATTCTTCAATAATTTTCTGACCTTTCTGTAAATGTTCAAATCCTAAGTCATTATGATCACCATGTTTTAAATAGATGTAACCTAGATTTATATGATATTGTCCAATGTTCGGATGATTTTCTGGAAAGATTTCACAGGCAAGTTCAAAACATTTTTGTTGATTTTTCAATGCTAAATCCAGATTTTCAAGATGTCTATATTCGCCCGCAATTCCATCATATATACTTGAAAGCACGGATTTGTTATCTTGTGGATAGGTCAAACATTTCCGATAGTATCCTAGAGCAGTATCATGATTATTATTTTCAGAGTGGATAGTTCCGAGATAAAGGTAAGTCATTGTTAATAAATTTGTTGCTTGTTTGCTTTGAGAGGATGTATATTTTTCGATCCATTCAAGTGCTTTTTCTGCCATTGACAAGGCTGTTACCGTATCTCCATAACCCATGTAAACTATGGCTAGATTATTGTACACTTCCAAAATATTGCTATCGTTTGGAAGAAGTTCATTTAACACCATCTTATAAAAGCGTTCAGCTTTCTGATATTGTCCCATTTCGATTAAAATATTTCCAATGAATATAAGATCGGGTGTTTCATGAAAGTCGTCGGTGGTGGTGGGTATTGGCAATAAATTACAAAATCGTTCATTTTCTTCACTGATAAATGTTAGTTTCACAATCCAAACTGGTCCTCCATTTATCTCTTCAACAGAATCAATACGATATACAGAACCAAATGAAATTAAAATTTCGTTTTCCGATTCGAAATAACTATGTCCACCAATATCTGCAAAACGTTTTTCTGTAATAACAGTTGTATCGATTGTCATTTCAAATAAAACAGATTCATTCAAAGGTCGTTTTGAACCATTACCAGCATAAACGAGAGCAACATATTTATCAATTGTAGTTGATAAAAACGTATTCATTGATAATTTTCCACCTATATTATTTTTTACTTTTTTGAATTCGTCTATCGACAAATGTTGTCCTCGATACAGTGTAAGTATTGTATAATCAATCGATGATAACATGCTTGTATATTCATGATATAATTCATTTAATTGATTGTATAAATCAGTAAGAAAAAAACGAAATTTGAATATAATTTCAATATTTTGGGTTCGAAATGCTTTATTTAATAATCGATAAACAAAACAATCTCTTGTGTACCATCGAATTGCATTTTTAGCTGAATAGTTCGTTTCAAAATCATCGATTTTTTGTTGCTCAGTCACATCATCTTTGTAATACAAACGACATTCATTTAACATTTGTGTTTTTGAATGTTCAGTTTGAGGTATTTTAAGTACTGTATCAATTAATAATGGTCATCCATTTAGGATATCTAATTTCGGATGGTCTACTGAGTGCAACAGAAATTTTAACAGGGATTTTAAATTTGTCCCTCTGGACACCACTCAAAATACTAGCACATAGACTATGTACCTACTGCGATACACAAGTTGTGGTTGTTTTAAAAAACATCTACAGTCGTCGAAATTGATAATAAAAGCTAAGTTTTTTGACACGTTTGTCCCACCTGTACTTTTCTAATCGACTTAAACGGCTAGCATGTTTGGTGCTTCAGTTTAAAAAAGCACAGAACCAGTTGTGATGTCTGATTTTGGCAACCCAGGTAAACAAAAGACGGCTAAAAAGTGGGGTCCGTTTTTGGCCTCGGATGGGTGACCTAGGCCAAAAAAGGTGGGGGCAAAGTGCCACTTTTGGACTGGATGACGACGTCCGGACGCCGCAGAAAAAGACTGGTGAGGACGCCTGTCTGGACTAGTGTTGTGACTACACACCTGTCGCGTTTTAATTATTTCAAATCAACATTATCGGACACCACCAAGACGACCGTCCAGATGCCCATCTTAAACAACATATCCGGTAGCGAAACACGACGCCCTGTCTGCGGGTATGACTGAGGTCCGCAAAGTGCCACTTTGCGCAGGGCAACGGCGTCCGGTCATTGTCGTTTTTTGGACCTATTTGACCACCCGTTCGGACGATCATCTTGATGGTGTCCAATAATGCTGCTAGTTCCACATTTTTCCAGTCACCGTTTTGTTATCAACGATTGATTCCACTGTGTTTTACTCGGACTTTTCTTCGAGAACATAGTGCAATCAAATTTTAATGCGTTCGTCAAGCAGACAATGCTTTTGTCATGTTATAATCTCTATCTGGAAAGGAAAAATCAGTATGAATAAAGAGTCAGGTAGTAAATTCAGACGATGTACACAGCAAATTCAGCTCTCTGTTCCCTTATCGAAATAGGTCTCATTTTCGCTAGTCACAATGTTACACTGTCGGATTTTTGGGCAAGTTTTCTTTTGAGACACATCTCTTTCGCAGATTAACTGAGTCCGTACTAATAGTTTTTTCTCATGTATTTCTCAATTACGGTTTGCCATATAACTATCATTTCATCTCAGAATAAAAGTGAGAGCGGTTGAACGTTTTATAGTTTGCCTGTGAGTTTTACCATAAGGTAACGGTT